GATGACTACTTTCGGTGGCGCGCGGGAAAGTCCGCCGAGGAAAACCTTAGCAAACTCCAGAAGGAAGACATTCCCCGCATTGAACAATGGGCCAAACAAACAGGTTCATGCTTCGCCGCGGAGAAAACCGAGCTTATCCACTTCACTAGGAAGAAAAGCGAACAGGCTAAAGGGCGGCTAGTAATACAAGGCGTGGCCATCGAGCCGTCAGCAACAGCCAAGTTACTCGGGGTGGTGTGTGACCGCGAACTGAGATGGAAGGAACACGTGCAGCAAGCAGTGAACCGGGCCACAAAGGCCAACATCGCCCTGGCAGGGCTTCGACACCTCCGCCCCGGCCAAATGAGACAGGTCTACCAGGCCTGCGTTACCCCCATCATGGACTACGCATCAACGGTCTGGCACAACCCGCTCAAGGACAAGAGACACCTCAGGGTGCTCAACACGGTCCAAAGATCAGCCTTGATCCGAATACTGTCCGCATTCCGAACAGTCGCAACAACAACAATGGAAGTCGAAACATACACGCTACCAACGCACCTGCGACTCAAACAGAGAGCACAGAATGTTATCATTAGCCTGTGCACGCTCCCTAGGGATCACCCAATACAGGAGGTGCTGGCGAGGGCTCGGAGACGACGCGATAACATAGGATCCCGACCGCGGTTTCCTCTCGCTGAATCCATGAAAACTATGAGGCTGGAACAACTAGACGGTCTGGAAACAATCGACCCAAAACCAATGATCCCTTGGGACCCGCCAGGCTTTGTGGAAATTGACATTGAACCAGACCGGGAGAGAGCAAAAGACAAGGCTACAGCCCTACAGGCGTCATCAAATATGGTAGTCTTCTCGGATGCGTCAGGGCAGAACAACCATCTTGGCGCAGCGGCAGTGATGCTGGACCACAATCAAGAAGTAATCGAATCCCGACAACTCTCCATTGGATCGATGGCCAACTGGTCAGTGTATGCAGCAGAGCTTATTGGCATATTCTATGCCATTAGCCTTGTCCTAAAGGTAGCTAGCTCAAGACCAAGAGTCCCGACAACTTCACAGCAAGAACCAGCAACAATCCTCTGCGACAACATGTCAGCACTACAGGCCATCAGGAACCCACGCAATAAGTCAGGTCAACGGATTATCCATGCCAACCTGCAGGCAGCCTCAGAATTGAGAACACGGGGCATTCCCCTCCGCCTCCAATGGATTCCAGGACACTGCGATGACCCTGGAAACGATGCAGCAGACGAACTAGCCAAAATGGCAGTTGGTTCAAATAAAATGCATCCCTTCAACCGCCTTGTCTCTCAAGAAAGAGCGGGCATTCGAAAGCAGATCCTCAAAGAGTGGGAGCAGGAGTGGAAGACATCCACAAAGGGTAGCCACCTTCGGCGGATCGACTCGAAGTTGCCAGCCATCCGCACCCGACGATTATACGGCCCGTTGCCACGGAACCGAGCCTATCTACTTACCCAGCTACGGGCTGGCCACTGCTGGCTGGCGCCTTACGGGAAGCTCCATGGACACCGAGAAGACGATAAATGTGAATGCGGGGCCAAGGAAACAGTCAACCACGTCATACTTGACTGCCCAAAACTAAGAACGCCACGACGAACACTACGCGAGGAAGTTGGCGAGGTATTCGGAGATATCCCGGCCATGCTAGGCGGGAAAGGGGAAACAAGCCATGTGAGGGCTGTACTGGATTTTGCAGAAGCATCTCAAAGGTTTCGTAGCCGCGGACCAAGGGGCCCGCAAAGACAGAACCAAAGGCAAACGGCCACCACAGGCCCCTAGGCGAGGCTTAAAGTTCGCCCTTAAGAAATGGGGTCATGTACAATAGAGATACAAGGGAAGATATATAGTTGTAGGTAGCCTGCATATCGCTTTCTTGCGAGGGGTCAGGGTAAATGAAACCATCCATCCATCCATCCAGCTGTAC